CACTTTATTCACTTTCACTTCAAAAAACAAGCATGGGCAGGTGATCGTCAATGAAGATTTCAGGTAGTCACATATCCTTGCTGGAAGATATGGATTTTTGGAAAACCACAATAAATTGGCTTTTTATCTGTTTATGATATGAGGCCTTAACTGCCGGCATTTTGTGGGTTCTAAGAAGTCATTAATTTATTGGATATACAACCCTATGTTGAAAATCTTGAATGTAAAGTTCTTTGATTTGTCCACAACCAGTAATCACAAGTTGTGTGCAGTTAAGTTTCCAGATTCACTTTCACTGTTCTGGATAATAACTAACTTTTAAACTTTTAATAACTGACTATTCTTTGATGATTGCAGCCGACAAAAAGATTAGTCAATGGTCATCAAAAGCTGTATTCCAGAACAGTGAAAGTAAATAGTGATTATTCTGACTGACTGACTCTTCAATTTTAATCTTAATTACCATCCAGCAAAAATATTTTAAAAAATTGAAATTGCATATGTTACAATCCAGATTTGTATTCTTAGATAGAATATAGAAACTTTTCAATTTTTTCAGAATTCTACATAGAAATATTTGAATATTAGAAATTAATTTAATATGATTTTTTTTATATTTCTAATATTAACTTTTTGATCATTATGATCTTTACATTATATTTATAAGGATTTATATAAAATGATAGCTTTCAATATATGGAAACATTTTAAAGAATACTATAATCTATTTCTTTCTAAAGTAGAAATAATTTTTATTTATCAAAAATAATTTTCAAAACTACACAGCAATATCAATTGAATATAAAGTTTATTAAAGTAAATTATAAAACGTGTATCCAGAAGGGTGCTTATGGTGCTGCAGCATCCCTTAATATCAAAGCAATTAGTTTTGTTACTTTAGAATAAAAATAAATACAATACATGACTTCAATGGCAGAAAGTAATTTTATACAAACAGCAGAAAAACAGAAAAATTAAAACTGATATTTCTTGGAAACACATGTCAATGTGGAGCACAGACTAAAGATAATTACATGTAATTTCAAAATAACTGTAATTTTGATCATTTTTAGTGAAAATAGAAAATGTTATGATTTTATACCATTTTATTTCTCTTTTTAGAATCAGACTGGGTATAATCATGTAATTTGTATAATTTATCAGCTTGTTTCTAATATAACAGAAAGCACAAAAATATGAAATTTGCTAAGTATGTTTCCAATGTTCAAGAAAAAAGTTTTGGCCAATTCACTAAATTAATTACTAATGCCCAAAGAATATTTTAACTTAGCTTTCAACTTTTTTTGTAATTTTAAAAAATTGCATATAGTTAAATTTATTTGAAACAGTCTGATGTACTAATTTATTTGAACTCATCATATAAAAATTTTGTCACAAAACATTGACATTTGAAAATAAATTCATAACATAAGTGTTTTAATAACTTATATAATTAAATAACAGTAGTGTAATAATAATAAGTTAAATACATGTATGAGTTCTTAGTCTCTGAAAACATTGTAAATCTAAAAATTACTTTAAAGTTTGTTTTTATTCTCTTCAACCTGTGGGCATGGGCGTAGCGAGGGGGGAGCCTGAGTGGGCACGGCCCCTCCCAGGGAACCTGGTGCCCTCCCCAGGAAATCACAGCCGAAAAAGTGTTGAGTCGATTTGTAAAAACCTAAAGCTAAAATAAAAGTTTTGAATACTAAAAAAAGGTGAACGGCTTGCTCGGTGCCCAATAATGAACAATAATTTGAAATAATTCAATTTTGTGTCAGGTTGGCCTCCACTAGGCCCCCCCATAACAAAACTCTGGCTACGCCCATGCCTGTGGGCACTGAGAGGCTTTTTAATCAAGCCCATTGTGGATTTAGCCATACCCACAATGGAGCAGCTGGGTGGTAAAAGATAGAGCTTGACATATTTGGGATGGGTTACACTTAAAAAATTTCTAGATCAGTAGGCTGATGCCTTAACCACTCAACCATCTGGCCATCTTGCATTTTAGACTTATAATGGGCACTTTCCAGTAGTCGTCAATATCAGCTACAAGGGATGCATTGGTGAACAGTTTAGCTTCTACTAAGCTTCTGTAATCTTTCTAGTATATACAGTATACAACAGATACTAGGGCATAAGGGAATGTGAGATGCTGCTGATTGTTGATTGAGAATAAGTTCCTACTATCTGGCAAGCAGATAAGATGGTAGGTGCCTTTTGACATTTGCAGAGTATATTCTCAAATTATCAAAAAAATAATTTTATTGATGTTTATAACTATAGTTGCTGACACTGCAGGGATTAAAATGTGCATTTTATTTAATAGTGTTTGAAAATATATATTGGAATTATCTGTGCACATCAAATTTGCCATATAACTATTCAATTTTAAGTAAATATATTACAGCTATATAAAAATTGCTTCAAACTCTATAATTGAACCTAAACTACATTTAACAGCATTAATAACTTATGACCAGTAATGAAATCTTTATTTATATTAGATATAGTAACAGTTAAAAATATTTTTATTCATGTGTAAAGTATAACCATGGAAGTAGCCATATTTGCTCACCATATCCACAATTCAATGAGTGTGGCACCGTTGCAATCAGCACAACATGCATCAGTTGTGGCAACATTGAGCTAATTGGTGAATACTGGAACACACTTCAGTACATTTAAGTTCACTAGAGTGATGTTGATTTATACTGGAATGTACTGTACCCAATATCTTCTTCAGAAAGCTAATTTTTAGCTAAGATTATATACCAGCTATCTCATTGATGGAACTACATAAGATTTGAGTGGATTAAGCCTTCTAAAAACAATAGTTCATAGTTTAGTGCAGCAGTGTCCATTTTCCATATCTATACTAATATAATAAAGAGGTAATGTTTGTATGTATGTAAGTTTGGATGCAGCAGGTAATCTCCAAAACTACTCATCCGATTTCAAAAATTTTTTCACCAATATTTAGAATGGAACTTCAGGATGGACATAGGCTGTATATTATTCCGTTAAACATGGGGGATGGACAGTTCTTTACGGTAAGCCTTACGGGGAAGGCTTACCGTAAAGAACTCTGCTTCTATTTATACTATTTTAGATGCGGTTTTTTGCGTTTTTGATTGCGTTTTAATAGAGTACGTCAACAGAATGTACACTAAGAAGGGATTTTTCGATATTCCCCCCGAGGGGAGAGGGACAGGATTAAGGCTTACTGTGAAGAACTTCACTTCTATTATACTATTTTAGATGCGGATTTTTGCGTTTTTGATTGCGTTTTAATAGAGTACGTCAACAGAATGTACACAAAGAAGGGATTTTTCGATATTCCCGCCAGGGGGAGAGAAACAGGGTTAAGGCTTACTGTGAAGAACTTCACTTCTATTATACTATTTTAGATGTGGGTTTTTGCGCTTTTGATTGCGTTTTAATAGGGTACGTCAAGAGAATGTACACTAAGAAAAAATTTTTCGAAAAATTTTCCCCCACTGGGGAAGTGTTATACATTTATAATAGATACATTTTGAGCCACAACAAGGCGTGGCGGGGTCTGCTTGTACAATATATTTAATAAATGCTTTTGCTTTAATTGTGTAAACTTAGGCTACTCTTACTTTTTTTACATGTGGACTATATCTAATATGGTTGGTTGAAAAAAGAAAAATATTAGTCATTTCTCATAACCTTGTTCTTTGTGTTCTTTTACAACTTAATTTTTTATTGTGCATCCAACCATTGTCTTTTCATTATCAGATAATGTAAACCAAGTTTTAACAGCTTAAATTAGTAATAATTACTCACACCAAGCTTAGAAGAGTGGAAAAATTAAAATGAAATTGAAGCTTTTTGTGTAGTCACTCCTATTCATACTGGGCCTATTTACATGCATATACAATTTTTTTCTAAGCCATTCTATTTCCTAATGAAAACATTGTTTAAAACTAAAAATGTTGTAAATTGCAAAAACAATAAGAATAATTTCATTTTGTTTCCAATAACTTTGTTCACTTTTTATTATAACACTAAAATTTTTTCAAAATTATTTAAAATTATTTAATTGAATAACATTAGATCAAATATAATTTTTAACTTATTAAAATTGAACTGAAATAAATTCAGTTTAAAGTATAGTAAAATTTAAACTCTATGAAAGAAAATGTAATTAATTTGTGTACAGTCAAACCTTGATTTTTGAACAACTCACTTTTTGAAAAAATTGGTTTGCAAGCAGAATTTTGAACTTATAATTGTACTGGTTGCCAAACGATGATGCAATTGCTGAACAACCTATTTGGCAAGAGCCAGGCACAGATTAGAGAGAGACAACACAGATGGTCAATTCCTTATACTTCCTATGTTAAAGAAAGTCGATGGCCAGACCAATTGACAGGACTACCAATTCAGAAGTTATTGATGCCAAGATCACCTCACTTCATTAGACATTTTGACACAAATCGTTGATGACGTTGCTATTTAAATCAGATTTCAATGCATGTTCGAGAAAGATACTAATTCTGTTTTTCAGTACATGCTGCAGTTGAATTTAAATTAAATTCATTAATAAAAATCATATTAATTGACATTCATGTAATATAAATGGCATCAAATAATTCAAGTTTAGTGGTACTTAGGTCAAATTTAATAACAAAAATTATTAAATATAATTATTTTATTATTTCTCATTAGTACACAATTTGGCATTATACTGTATTTAACAGTATTAATTAAATGTAAGAACTTTTAATGAATACAGCTAAAAAGGTAAAAGAAAAAACCAGTTTTATTTTGGGGATCATGAATGGATTAATCCATTTTGTATTGTTTCTTACGGGAAAATTTGTTTTAGTTTCGGAACAGATCAGCTTTTAGGAATGAATTATGTTTGAAAACAGAGGTTTGACTGTGTTTTATTACATTTGAATTATTGTTTAAAAATTTTAATGAACTTCCTTAAAAATAAAATTTTATTAAAATTCTTTTATTTGAAGATGGACAGTAAACCTACAACTGGAAGTGAACAACTTTTACATAACTTCTTCAGCAGCTTATTAAAGAAGCCATCGGGATCATCCAGCTTTCTAGTTTCAGGTATTTCGGAAGATAATTTTTATATATATTTAATAGAAATTTAGACAGATTCAGTTTAAATTAATGTATTTCTACAGATAAATCTCCTATAAATAGTACATCCACCCTAGAATCTTCATTAAACAGAAACGATGCTGGTAGTTCAAGCTCTGAAAGATATCCTTCTTAATATAAACAGGCAACTGCTTGATTATACAATATATACATATATATAAGTGTTAAATTATTTCACTATTGTTATTATTTTCATTTCTTGTTTTTATATTATAACTTTTATTACCTAAATTATTTTAAAAAATAATTTTGCACAAATGTTGTTCTAATGATTAAAAAAATCATGCAATACTTCCTGAAAGATGTGAATACAAATTTTCCTTACAAATTAAATATGAAAATGAATTAAATGCCAAAGATTTATAATTTAAAAAAAATATTTGCCAAAAAAAAATATTTGTTTATATACAAAATTTTGAACTGTTTAAATTATATCATCGTCATATCAATCTTTGTATTTAAAAATACTATATTTATACAATTGTTTAAAATATAATGAGCCAATTTGTTATAAATTTTAAGTATTTGGTTAGTGTGAGGACACGTTTTCATTGAATATAAGTTTATACGGGTATTAAATCTCAATACTATTTTTTAAAATTATATATTATTGTATATTTTGGTTGATCATATAATTATTTTACAGTTTGATGATAATAAAGATCATAGATGTTAGTATACTGAGTTTTTTTCTCTTGGACTGTAAACCATTTTTATTGTTGGGCTGCAATTTGAAAAAATTGTAGACTTGTTTATATGTCTGTCCTTCCTTAATCTCAAGAATGGTGTTAGATAGATGAAATTTGAGACTGGATATGAAAAACTTAGGTGCAGAAGGCCCCAATTAACTATATACAAACTTTCACTTTGGGCCAGAAGTCATGTTATTTCAATTCAAAAATTTTCTCCAGAACAGAGTTAGATAACTGGTGTGACTTTATTGTTAACAGGGAAAGTATGATGTGCAGGGGTAAGACACTTCTAAACTTAAGCACATCATGACGAAAAACTGAAGCCAGGCATTGCAATGATGTCACAATAAATAATTGCTTGTTTTTTATTAAAAATAAATAAAATATTAATTTTAAATATATAATTTACCAGTAAATTAAATGTGTTATTTTATTTCAAAATTGCATTCTGCTTTAGCTGTTCTTGTCTGAAGATTGCCCATTAATTAGATGAAAAACGTTAGCATATTTTAAACTTTACCAACTGTTAAAAGTGCATAAATTCAGTTGAATAACCACAGTGGCTAGTTCAGCCTTAATGTACACAATCTACAGAATTTTACACACTGCCAAAGTTGTTTGTTTATTTTGTATATTGCAAGTGTTAATTCAATTTAAAATTTTGATATTAGCTTATAAAATATTTGTTAGTTAATTATTATTGCATAAGTAAGAAAAAAATGAGTTTTTGGTTATTAAAATTACTTTCCGTGAATGAAAACTAAACATTTAAATATAAATTTTTTTGTTACATTATCTAGATTATTAATTTTTTTCTATTTAAGATGTCAAAATAACTCATATTCTGCACAATGAAGTTGTGAGTATTATTTAAGAATTTGTAATGAACTGCTAAGTTTCAAATAATCTATCTGAAATCTTTCCATAAATAATTTTAAAAACAAAATAATAGTTTTTAAATAATAAAAATTTCAGAAACAGTTTTGATCTAGAGAGATTTGGCCAAACCTTTCACATTTTTTACACTATATTAAGATGTTTTTAACATTTTTATTAGTAAACCAAACTGAAAAACAAAAACAAGCTCTCAAATTGTTTTCACATCATATACAAAACAGGATAGAGATGTGATAAGTAAAATGAACCATCTTTATAATTTTGAGAATCTGAGACCAGTAACGATAAAATTTCTCAAGGTTATAATAATTATTTCTCAAATATATCTTGTAACAACCACTTCTTACGGAAACCAAATTCTTTAATTCACAGGAAAAAATGTTTAACTTCTCTGAATTTGTTACAAAATAATAGAATAAAACTTTTTGATTCTTTATAGAACTTTCCAATGAATTCATTATTAAACACTAATACACTGAAAATTATATAACTTTTAAAAATTGTCCTCCTTCCATTTCCCATTTGATTCTATTAACAAGTTTTTCAATATTCATATTACAAATTATCAAGCCAAAGTATATATAAATGTACAGTATAAATTTTATATATAATTATATGTACAGACTCAATTTACCCGCCTAAACGTCCGTAGCGTGGCGCTACGGACGGCGGGAAAGTAGTTCGGCTGCCCGATGACGTTTTACGTAATTATAGAAGTTTTTTTACCGTTGTGTACGGATACCGCCACAATTTTTTCGCCGTATTATANTATTTTCAAAATGTTAGTTTACTGAAATTTTTAAAATTTCAATAAATTATCCAAAAAATAACAGGTACAGTTTATAAGCAATATCTATTTTTATTACAAAATTACTAATAATTTTGTTTCAGATTAGTTTGAAGTTATTTAATTGGATGTATGGATAATATGGATTAATGAATAATTGGTATTATGGATAATCCCAACAAGTTTTGTGAATACAAATCATATTCAGGATTCCACTATACTAGGTCATTGCTTTATATTGTGTACACTTATGCATTATTGTATTTTAAAATGTCAACGCATGTCATAATTTTCATCTATTTCAATTTTGATTGTTAATTTTGTTAAATTAAAATTTTCATTTAATATTTTTGGAGCCATCCATTAATTATATGTACAATTTTTGAGCCATTTTTAATCTCTTCACTTTGTGTTGTGTACAATGATGTACAATTAGTAAATGCCTGTTTAATTATATATGCAATAGTTTATTTATCCCCAACATTGAAGAAATAGAAAATATTTGCAAATGATAGTTTATTCATATGACTAGTAAGTAAGCAAGCTTAAAAGAACAAATTTATATGAAACTAATACCACTAACAGAGCCATGTAGACAGTGCCATGACTCCTCCTCCATCATGTATACTAATGTACTCATAACTCATATATGACTCGTGTATAATGTAATCGTGTACTAATGGCTCAGTTCTTCCTAACCTGCTTCTTAATACCCTTCACGAACATTTCAATCTAAATCCAGCCGTCTGTTGCTGGTTAAATAATTACTACTAATCAAGATTGTGTAAATTTGTATCAGCGATTTCGAATTTTCAAAATTTCCTGTTTGCAGCATTCCCCAAGGATCAATATTAAGTATGCTTCTCTTCTCTGCATGTATAGATAAATTATTCCTTAACGCACCCTCCAAAATAATAGCTTATGCAGACAATATTAAAATCTTAAATGACGATCCACTGTCTTTACAAGTAGGTATCAATTCAATATGCTTTACCTTTGCCAGTCACAACTTAATTAGATTTGTGAATATTAGTATTTATGTATTATATTTTAATTTGTAATTTATCCCTTCCTTGATTTACATTAATCTCTATGAAATAAATTATGTTAAATCCTATTGTGATCTGGGTGTCATATTTCACAACAAATTAACTTTTCATGATGATATTTATCATATTACAATATCAAATCTCTTTCTATTAGATGGGATATTCTGTAACACTTTTGTAAAAATATTTCCTCAAATTCTATCTTAAGGGCTATTTTTTTTACAAACTTTCAGTCAGTCATTGATTACTACTTCCCCATCTGGTCAATGACTGCCTCATATTTATTTTGTAAAGTAAATTAAATAAGGTCTACTCCCTGCTGTATAAATTTAGTAACCTCCCATACACTAATAATCCAGAAGTCGCCAGAAATTGTTTTGATTTACCAGATCTTACTAATCATCTAAAATATTTTGATCATATACTTTGCTATAAATATTTTAATGGACTATTCTACAATTACTGGCTCAGCCTTTGTGTACCTACTGTTAGAACATGTAATATTTCTTGTCATTTTACCTTTTTTACTGTCTTAATCTTACATTATCTCACAGATAATTTTTTTATTGCATATCTGTACATATGAGTCAAGTTGAACACCTTTTGTATCATGATTTCACTTTTTATAAAAACAAATGTAAATCCATTTTATATAATATGTAATTTATTTCTTATTTCCTATTGTTATTACATATTTATTTCTTATGTTTTCTTAATTTTAATATCTTTTGACTTGTGTTATTTCTTTTTGGGTTTATTATCTGGGAGGTGAAAATCAATTGTCTTCTTTGGACTTTTCCACTTGTAAATAAATAAATACCCTTTCATGAGCCTCCCTTAAAGTGTACACATAGTTAATGGACAATCCCTTGCTACACTATGCTAACATAAAGTATGATATTTTCTGTTCATGCTGAAGATATATTGGAAAAATAGCTTAGATGCATAAACAGAAACTATGCATTTAATTTATCATAATTTTTTTAATCATCTTGGTTTTAAAATAAATTTCTCTTATAGCTTTCAATTGTTATTGTTGTATGTTGCTTTTGTCAGTTTCACTCAATATCAGTATAATTCTCAATGGACTAATTAGTTTATATGAGGGATAGAGAATGAAATCCCAATTCAGAATAGCCATGAAATTTCATGAAAATCTCAATTAGATTTATTAGCAGAAAAAATCATTATCAAAATCATTATATATAGTCAACTATTTACTTGGATTTGAAAGATTCAAAATTATTGTATAGTATATGATTGTAGATAAACCTTTGAAACAAATCATATTACAAAAATTTTAATGTATTAATTAGAGTGGCCACTGTGAGATATGCGCGAATACCGGAGACAAAGAAACACAACTTTTATGATATGAAATTCTTTAATTCGCGCACAGAATACCGGAAATGTGGTTCGGATGCCAGCTACAATCTCTACCCTCGAACATTTAATTAATTTCTGTAACAAAAAACTTTACGGACCAGTTATATAACGCGACAATCTCGTAGTTTAATAACTATTCTACTTATATACTATACAATTATACCTTATAACTAAGCTTATGGCTAATTATTATATTCTAAAGATGAAAATTAGGTCTAAGGTAAGATATGAATTGAAATATAAAGATGAGAGAAAAAGGAAGTCGGGTACCCAATGATTTCAGTGTGCTTCACGGGGGATTGTAGCAAGTGGGGGTGAGCCTCTTGATCCACGGCGAAAGATAATTCCTTCCCTGTGGAAGTTTTCTTGGTCTTCACTATACACTTTAAAACGCACGAAAACCTCCTTTTCAGTTTTCGATAGCCTCCGTATTCTTTTCTCCTCGAAAAGTCCGTTTAGTCTCCACTCGGTTCAACAACCCAAGAGCCTTCTTCACATGTCTTCTCCTGTCCTCTACTACCTCTAGAATGAACTCTTGGACCCCATTATACCCTGAGGGTTACACACCTTCCCCTTTGTTACACAGGGGTCACCTGCTGTTACACCGTTAAACAAAAGTAGGGAGAAACTTCCAGAAAGAAAGACAACAGAAATGAAGACAAAGGGAAATATATTTAATAAAAATATAAACTATAACTATACAATTATGGCATGTAGCCACACCACCCATCCTACTGTGGGAGGACATGTCCTACAATTAAACCTTTTGTCCTATGTCCTACCACCTAATGGAAATGTCCTACTTTCACAGATAACTACTTCTGTGCCAATAGGTAGTTATTAATAATAACAATAAACTTTTTTTTTCATATTTTTATATTAAATAATGGGTACAATTGCAACAAAGAGTAGTATTTAAAACAACAACAGAAGTATATCAATATAAAATTATTTACTTATGAATTTTTAGTGTTTTAAGCTGGGTTGTCAAATGTCCTACTGGGAAGCATTATAAAACTTCAAATGTCCTACTTTGACTATGTCAATATCTGGTCACCCTAGTATTAATACATAAACAAGAATCATGTTATACATAAGTTAAGAAAACAATAAATAGAAATTAAATTACTATAATACTTTGTGGCTTAGTAAAAAGTCCCAACAATGACTTACTGAATGCCTAACTGTACAGTGAATAAATTTATTGGTAAACAGAAACCTTTCGGTTGTTAAATTCTATTGGAAAAGGTCCAAAGATTAGTTTTGGAAGGATCCCAAATAACTGTAGTTTTCATATCAGATCCAG